CTCTTTAGTATCTTGAATTCTTCCTTGTGCTTTGGTTTCTCTACGCTCCAGCGCAATCTTCAGAGTTTCTTCTGACATCCATTTTGGTGTTTTCTTCCTCTTCTTTCTTTGTAATGACCATTTGCACTCTTCCTAGATGATACATTTGACATCCCCCAACAACTCATCTGGTCTTCGCTCATTAGTGTTCAAGGCCTCAAACCTGTTCCTAAGATGATCCTGAAATTCAAGTGGGCTCAAATCAAAGTCATATTTTGGCTCCTGTGGGCTCGGTTTAATTTTCCTCAGCTTCATATAGTCAACTATTAGTCACAGCAACTCTATCAACAACAATTTTATGTATAAGTAGCTAAGAGTCATACTTGAATAGATGGTACCTAACAATAACCATATGTACATATGTGTAGGTATATGCAAATGTATATGCATATTATGTGACTATATGCCCATTTAATCACACATCATCATCATCAAATATGTTGTTCTTGTTAGGTGCCATTGAGTTGACTATTAATCATAGCAATACTATGAAGAACAGATTTGAAATTTTTCTTTCCTGTGCTATCCTCTTTATCTCCATCATTTTCATGTCCACTGTGTCAATCTCAGCATTATTTTTTTCCTCAAGAATTAGATGCATCTAACAAAGTATATTAGATGTCCAAAGTATATTAGACAAAATTTCATTATCTTTGCCTTTGAAGAGCTCTAGAGACACATAGGAATATGTTTATAAATACTTCTTAGACAGAACCAAACACCTTATATAATTGACTCTCTGATTTGAAGGATTAAGAACACAGTCTTGTAGGACATCTCAGGCAACTGACATAGCACACCTCATAAAGTTATATTTTGTTGAGTAGGGTCTGGAGTCTTAAAAGCTTGTGAGTGGGCATCTAAGATACAACTATTGGTCTCTACTCATCAGAACAAAAGAAATAAGGAAGCCAAAGACTATTACTTTTGTTTATTTATCTAGAGAAAAAAAAACCCTATAGGATAAATAGTACACACAATTGTGCTGTGGGAAATCCATGTACTCTGCTATTAGAAGATCTATATCTTCTGAACTATCTACTGACCTTTCTAACCAGGACTACATTCTATGGACCATGCTAGGTTGGAGGAAAAATATGGAACAAAACCTCAAGTTTCTTCAAAAAGATCAAAGAATCACTGGGCTGGTTGACACTGGAGGATGCACTAAAACTATTGTGCTGGGATATTTATTCTTCAAATTTTGAACTGAAAATAACCAGATGTCACTGTGTAACAAAATAGCAAATAGGCTCACAACATAATATTATCTGTATTACTTTTAAAGAAATCATCTGTATGAGACACATATGTGTTCTTTTTAAAAAATAAACTATATGAGACCAAACAGTAACAATAACTTTGAAAAAAATAATGAGAATGTAAGAGGGAAGGGAAGCTAGATTAATGGAAATGGACAAACCAGAATCGAAATAGTAAGAATGCTCACATAGGAAGAATGTAACCAGTGTCACTGGAAAATTTGTGTAGAAATTGTTGAATAAGAATATAAATAGCTGTATAAACCTTCAGCCAAAACACAAGAAAATATTATTTTTAAAAGAAACCAACTTGTATCAAATATCATCTCCTAGTGGTAAGAAGCTGCACTGCAATCCCAAAGGCATGCAGTTCAAGGCCACCAGATGCTCCACTGGAGAAGGATGAGCAATCTCCTCATGAACTGCCTCTGAAAACATCCTGGGGGGTCAGCTACGGGTCAGTTCTGACTCTACAGTACACAACAACAACAATAAGTCTAAACAAACGTATATGGAGAAGGGAGGCTGACATTAGCTCACTATATCTTTATTGGTCAGGTCCCTTCTCCCTCACCAGAATATTTCCCTATTAGGGCTTGTAGATTCCACTTTCTAGGTTTTACTAAATCCTGATTCTCATTTATTTGGCCTAATCTGAAAGTATTTTTCCCCAAGTACCTCCTTCATAGATTTCACAGGTGTCTCATATCTCACCCCAAAGCTTGGTTCTCTGAAGTAGGCCAAGAAAAGCAATTTAGAAAAGGCAGTTCCTAAATATGCCATTATAACAGGCTTTCAAAAACCCTATGTACAATCAAGCACACTTAGAGTAGAATAATGACTATGGCAACTGAGGTTTTGCCCTCAAATTTGGAAACACATAGGAGGAGGAATAGTTGTAAGCAGAAACTAATGATTGGAACATGGAGTGTGAGAAGCATGAATTAGGAAAACTGGGCATCATTAACAAAGAGATGGAATGCATAAACACTGACATATTAGGTATTGGTGAGATTAGATGGGTTGCATGGAACATTTTTAATTTGGTCATATGGTCTTCTACACTGGAGATGAAAAGGTGAGAAAAAATGCGGTCACCTTCATAGTTAAAAAGGTTGCTTCTAGATCTATCTTGAAAAACAATATTATGAGTGACAGGATAATATTCATATGCATACAAGGAAGATCTGTTAATACCACTATCATTCAAATGTATTTTACCAACAACCAGAGCCAAAGAGGAGGAAATATATGATTTCTACCAACTTTTGTTTTGTTTTGTTTTACTTTAATGAAAGTTTACACAGACTTTGGTTTTCCATTCATTCATTGTTACACTTGTGGTCTGGGTTTTTTAAATTCACTTATAAATGGAGCCATACAATTCAAAGTCCATGTAGTTCGATAGTCCACTGCATAGAATGAAATGCATAAGATATCTTAATTGCTCCTTGGCCATACGGATGGCTCCTCTTTTCTTTGGGTAACAGAATCTTTGTTAGTTTCATCAACATGCCTTTCCTCTCCTGCAGAGGGTCTAAACAGATAAGGAGAAGGTGGTGGGTGATAGGAAGAAACCTTTTTTAAAAAATAACTGGGACACAATTTTACATTTGCTGTGGGGAAGCAAACACAGTTTAGAAGGCATAAATGCAGAGTATGAAGCAGGAAGAAAGTGCCTTGATCCCCAAGCCTCTGCTGCCATGGATGGCTGCTCCTGTGACTCTGGGGGAACTCAGGCATTCAGAAAACATGGTGACACATTCTGGGGGGATTTTATATGCTGTTGTTGGTGACTAGTCATTGGGCTTCTTATTAAATAGGTTTTTATGGGATGGCTCAAGCAACAATCCAGCAGGTTTAACCTGCTTTTCATGTGTCCCAAGTTCTCCAGAACAACTTTTAGGAAAAAAGATCTTCACCAATTGAGGCTGTTAGTGGCCAGAGGTTTGTTCCTTGTGGGGTTATAGAGAAACTCATGGAGGATCCCCAAGGCCTGTGAAAATGCAGAATCACAGTCATGGAGGGAGTGGTCAATAGGGTTGGTTGCTTCAATGGTGACACTGTGAAGTCCACTTGGGACACGTGGCATCAGTGAGATGGTGAGTGTTCAGTAGCATCAGGTAGGCAGGAGAGAGACCATGATCATGAAGGTGGTTTTCCCAGGGCGAGGCTTATCCACTGTGCTCTGGATGTGCTGACCCCTGCGATTTCCTCATATGTGGGGGACTTGTGCATAACTGTGGTAGTGGGGCCTGCGTTCACAATTTCCCCCAAGTCGTCTCTGAGGACTCCCCTGGAGCCTTGCAGGGCGGCAGACGGATCTGGCCGTCCCGGGCCTTCCCGGCCGCCGGCGCCCACCTCACCGCGCGCCCCTGCTCCTTTGCAGCGCACCAGCCGGCAGCCGCCATGGACCGGGACGGGTCCCGCCACGCCGGCACGGAGCCTGAGCCCTCGGCCGCCCTGGCGGCTCGCGACCCGAGCCCAGGCAGGTCGGCGTTGGGCGGCAGCACGCGCTCGGCGGGCGGGGGGCCGGCGGCGGGGAACGCGGGGAGGGGGGGCAGGCGCGTGAAGAACAAACGCCACGCGATCATGGAGCTGCAGCGCACGCTGCCGTCGGTGCCACCCGACACCAAGCTGTCCATGCTGGACGTGCTGCTGCTGGCCACCACCTACATTGCGCATCTCACTCGCAGCCTGCAGGACGACGCCGAGACACCGGCGGAGCCCGGGCTGGGGACCCTGCCGATTTCTACCAACTTTTGCAGTCAGAAATCGATTATATATGCAACCAAGATGCATTAATAATAATGAGTGACTAGAATGCAAAGGTTGGGAACAAGGAAGAAGGATCAGTAGTTGGAAAAAATGGACTTGGTGACAGAAATGAGGCTGAGGACAGAATGATAGAATTCTGCACAATCAATCATTTAGTCATTGCAAATATCTTTCATAAGAAACATAAATGCAGGCTATGCACATGGATTTCACCTGATGGTATGCATAGCAATCTTATTGATTAGATCTGTGGAAGGAATCATTGGAGAAGTTCAATATCAGCAGTGAAAACTAGGCCAGATGCTGATTGTGGAACAGACTATTGACTACTCATATGTAAGTTCAAACTGAAGCTAAATAAAGAAGGTCAAATCATATCTACAGAAATAAAAATTTCTTCCCAAGCCTATCTCCCCTGAATTTAAAAACCAACTCAGGAACAGGTTTGAGGACTTGAACACTAATGAACAAATACCAGTTGAGCTGTGGGAAGATATAAAGAATATTATCCATGAAAAATGCAAAAGGTCATTGTTGGGGAATTTTGTGGAAGAGGATGGGGTCTCTGGCCAGGACAGATCTCCTAGATCCAGATAAGTGCTAGCCTATCTGACCCAACAGCCCTTAATATGGAATAGAGAAAGCTCTCCTGCGTTTGGCTGTGCTGGCTTGAGAAAGCTCGCCACCCAGGAAGATGGCTGCAGTATCTGTTGGTCTACACTGAGCTGAGGTTCTCCTATCCTATCCTGCCTTCCTGTTTACTTGCCTGTATATAAGTGCACTGAAACCCCCAATAAAGTTGAGTTGGCTCTTTGAAGCACTCCTGGAGTGGTGTGTCTCCATTATGCTTACATCCATCAGGGTGCTACTGCTCCCTGCCAGCAAACAGACAGGTCATTACAAAGACAGAGGAAGAAGAAAAGACCAAAATGGACTGATGTCAGAAGATATTCTGAATATTGTACTAGAACACTGAGAACCCAAAGTGAAGGGAAAAAATAAGGAAGTTAGGAAGCTGAATAGAAAATTTCAAAGAGCAGTTCGGGAAGACAAAGCAAACTATTATAATGGAATGTGCAAGGACTTGGAGCACAAAAATCAAAAGAGCCAAACTCGCTTAGCATTTTTTAAGCTGAAGGTACTTAAGAACAAATTCAAGCCACACGTTACTTAAGGATGCTATGAGCAGAATATTGAACGACCCAGGAAGTATTAAAAGAAGATCAAGGAAGTGTACAGAGTTATTGTACCAAAAAGAATTTGCTGACACAGAAGAATTTCATTAAACAACATATGATCAAGAGGCAATGGTGATGAAGGAGGAAGATCAGGATGCTCTGAAAGACTTGACAAAAAATAAAGACCCAGGAATTGACATTTTAACAAACAGGTGCTTTCCTGGACATGCTCTATGTTGTGCAAAGAAATCTGGAGGACAGCTACCCGGTCAACCGACTGGAAGAGATGCATATTTATTCCTATTCTAAAAAAAGGTGACCCAACAGAGTGTGGAAATTATTGAACAATATCACTAATATAACATGCAAGCAAAATCCTTCTGAAGATTATCCAAAAACTACTGCAACAGTACATTGAAAGAGAACTACCAGAAATACAAGCTAGATTTAGAAGAGAACATGACACTAGGGACATCATTGCCAATGGCTTTTGGTGGAAAGCAGAGTGTATCAGAAGAATGTTTATTTGTGTTTCATTGACTATGCAAAGGAATGGATAACAACTAATTCTGGCTAATTTTGAGAAGAATGAGAGTTCCAGAACATTTTATTTTGTGTATGTGAAACCTATACTTGGATCCAGAATCAGTCCTCAGAACAGAGCAAGAAAACACTGCATGGTTCAAAATCAGGAAAGGAGTACATCAGGAATGTATCCTGTCTCCTTATCTTTTCAATCTATATGCAGAACTGATTATTTGGGAGACTGGAACTTATGAGAAGGAATGTGTCATCAGGCTTGGAGAAAGACTCAACAATCTACATTATTTTTAATTAATTTTAATGAAAGTATGCAGAGACTTGCAGATTCCATTCATTCATTGATGCACTTTTCTCCATGCCCACACCCTACTACACAATTTGCTATTCTCTTTGAAAAGTAAAAGAAAATTTCTTTCATTGTTATACAATCCCTTCCCTGAAGTCCACTCCACTGTGCAGCCTTCATTCTGAACTCCTGTCATGATAATAACAACTAATCATATATCCCTTTTAAACAGTTCTCTCCCTCATCTTTTTAAATGCAGTATATATTATTTATCACCTTTTTCTCAGTCTGCCCTCAAAACCGATGTCAGTCCCGTTTTACAACAGTGAAATATTTGTCTTTTTGTGACTGAGATATTTCACTAAGCATAATGTCCTCCAGGGCCACCCATTTTGTTTAATATTTCATGAATTCCTTGTTCTTCAATGTAGCATAATATTCCATTGTGTGAGTATACCAGAGCTTCTTTATCCATTCATTTGTTGATGGCACTTGGGTTATTTCCAACTCTGCTATTGTGAACAGAGCTGCAATAAACATAGGTGTTCATGTATCTGCTTGAGTGGCAGTTATGGTTTCTTTAGGATATATTCCAAGTAGTGGTATTGCTGGGTCAAATGGCATTTCTATTTACAACTTTTTGAAAAAGTGCCATACAGACTTCCATAGTGGATGCACCATTTTACACACCCACCAGCAGTGAATAAAGCTTCCTATTCTGTTAAATTTTGCAGTTCTTATTGGGGTGAGATTATATATCATGATTGTTTGTATTTGCATCTCTCTTACAGCTAGGGATTTTGAACATTTTTTCATGTGCCTGTTGGCCACCTGAATGTCTTCTTTGATGAAATGTCTGTTCATATCCTGTGATCATTTTTCAATTGGGTTATTTATCTTTATCTTGTTGTGGTGCTTGAGTATTTTACAAATTCTATATTTAAGTCCCTTGTCTGACATATCATTACCAAATAGTTTTTCCTAATCTATGGCTTCCCTTTTTACCCTGTTGGAGAAGTTTTTGGATGTGCACAGGGATTTGATTCTTAGAAGGTTCCATACATCTATTTTAACCTCTCCTGGTTGTAGATTTTTCAGGATGCTTGGAAGAGTGTTTAGGTTGTGGATTAGAATTTCTAGAGTTTTCCCAAGCTTTTCTTTAATGAAGTTTATAGTCCTAGGTTGTAGTCCTAGCTCCATGATCCATTTTTACTTGGTTTTTGTGTATGGAGTGAGGTGTGCTCTTGCTTCAGTTTTCTGCAGATAGTTTTCAAATTTTGCCAGCACCATTTGTTAAAAAAGTTTGTCATTTCCCCACTTAACTAATTTCATCTTCTCGTCAAAAAATTAGTTGACTATAGGTAGGTGGGCTGATTTCTGGATTCTCAAGTCTATTCCATTGATCTATGTGTCTGTCATTGTACCAGTACCACGCTGTCGTGACCACCACAGCAGTGTAGTAGAATTTGAAATCAAGGAGTGAGATGCCTCCTACCTTGATTCTCTTTTTAAGGAGGGCTTTCCTTATTCTGAACCTCTTTCCGTTCTGAATGAAATAGGATATTGCCTTTTCCATCTTGTTGAAGAATGAGATTGGTATTTGTATTAGGTATTTGGTATTTGTATAAATTTCCTTTGGTCGTATTGGCATTTTCACAATATTGCTTCTTCCTATCCATGAGCAAGGGATATTCTTCCACTTTTGTTTCTTGTAGTAATGTTTTGTAATTTTCTTTGAATGCATCCTTTGTGCTTCTGGTTAGGTTTACTCCAAAGTATTTAATCTTGTGGTTCGCTATTGTGAAGGGTATTGTTTTTCTTAGCTCCAGCTCTGTATTCTCTTTGTCACTGTAGAGAAATCCAACTGATTTTTGCATGTTGATTTTGTATCCTGCCACTTTGCTGAATTGGTCAACTATGTCCAGTAGTTTCCTTGCTGAGTCTTAAGGGTTTTCTAAGTATACTATCATCTCATCTGCATAGAGAGATAATTTTACCTCCTTTATGCCAATTTGTATACCTCTTATTTCCTTCTTTTGTCATATTGCTATCACGAAGTTTTCCAATACAATATTGGATAGGAAAGGTGACAGTGGGCATCCTTGCCTAGTTCCTGTTCTCAAAGGAAATGCCTTTAATTTATCTCCATTTAGAACTATGTTGGCTCTCAGGTTTTTGTATATACTTTTTACTTTGTTGAAGAAATTCCCCTTCTAATTCTATTTTGTAGAGTGTTTTAACACATTGCCGCAAATGATGGTAGTACATTTTTCTTTAAAAAAAAAAAGGGGGGGGGTTCTAAGCACGGTCGTCAATTTAAAAGTGTACAGCAATGTGTTAATCAGGAAAAAGAATTTTATTTTGTCAAAGGCCTTTTCTGCATCAATTGATAGGATCGTGTGGTTCTTCTTTGCTTTGTTAATGTGATTAATTACATTGATTGCTTTTCTTATGTTGAGCCATCCTTGCATACCTGTTATTAATCCCACTTGGTCATGGTGAATTATTGTGTTTTTTTTAATGCATTGTTGGATTCTATTGGCCAAGATTTTATTCAGGATTTTAGTATCAATGTTCATGAGAGATATTGGCATATAGTTTTCTATTTTGGCAGTGTCTTTACCTGGATTTGGTATCAAGATATGTTTGCTTCATAGAATGAGTCTGGGAAAATTCCATCTTTTTGTATTTTCTGAAATTGTTTATGTAGAATTGGTAACATATCTTCTCTGAATATTGGATAAAATTAATTTGTAAAACCATCTGGTTCAGGACTGTTATTGGTTGGGAATTGTTTTATTACCTATTCAATTTCTTCTTTTTTTAATGGGTTAGTTCAGGTGTTCCATTTCGGTTGGTGTCAATTTAGGTAGGTTTTGAATTTCTAAATATTTGTCCATTCCCTTTACGTTTTAATATTTGTTTGAGTATAATTATTAATAATATTCCAATTTTAGCCTTTTTATTTTATTTGGTCTGTTG